GCGCTCAATTTCGTGAGAGAGAGAGAGAGAAGAGAGGGGCATTGCGATGAATCTTGCAGGAGGACAACTCTTGAAATCTGCGCTGTCTACCTACTTGTCTACTCCAAGTCTACTTGCATGCTCCCATTGGATCGCTCAATGGTTGAGCCTGAAAACAAAGACAACAACTGAGCAACATCCGCAGCAAAAAAATGATGCCGAACCCCACGTATGCCCACCAAATCACAAGGTCTAAGTAGAACATGATCATGGCTCGTATGCTGCTCGGCGCCAAGTATTCCAGCCCTCACCCCCCCACACCGCACATGGCAGCCGGAACCGGGGAAGGTGATGCCTTGGCATCCGGTCCGTCACGGAACCGATCATTCCTGGCATCTAGAAGCACTAAAACATCCTCCAACCATGTATGGGCCTGTAGCTCAAATAGGCAGACCTCCCAGGCGTAACCCGCCTGCCTGGAAGAAGGCAAAACCGACCAGTCGACCCATTGGTTCGGGATCTCCCTCTAAAAATGCACATACGCTCCCTGGAAATAACATGGAAGTGGAAAACCACTTGTTTGTAGTGGAAAATGGTCTTCCAAGGGGCGATTCTCCACTTCCATGTTAGTTCCAGGGAGTGTAAGATTGGTAACCGGAAACACGCGGCCACTGTGCAACCCATGTCGCCCAATTTCATCCCCACTCGGCGTGACCATGATTGTGTACAAAAGTGGTGTATTTTGCTCCATGTCTTCCAGACTCGTCTCACATCAAAGCCAGAACATCCAGAACTCCTTAAAAACACCTGATGGTTTCCACTTTTTGGGGGGGGGCTCCAAACTCCTTAAGAAACCCACTGTGATGTTTCAAGCCTGGAGGCGGACTCTGCACGGTTCCACAGCCATGCCTGATTTGTGTGTAAACTAATAAGTGTCCAATGTTTGACCCATCCATCCATCCATCCATCCATCCATCCGTCCATCTCCTGAGCTTCTGACCCATCGGGTTGACATGGGCCTGCCAAGCAAAATGTGCCAAACACAGGATCCTTGTAGGATATGCTATGGCAGTTGTGGCAGTTGTGCTCCTAAGCCACGCATGACACACAATGTTGTGTGAATTTGAATTCGAAGGGTTTGAGCAGAACCTATGGAGCTACAATTTCCTCTTCCAGCCCTTCCCGTGCGGGTTTTTGTGTTGTTTCTGTATGATGTGGGTCAGGTCCTTCTACTCTTTCTTGGGTGGACTCAACGGGAGTACCGCGTAAACGAGATGACCCAAAAAGCCTCGACGCAACAGCAACTCCTTTTCGAGTCATTCTGGAGCTCCAAGTGAGGTGAAACTTTCGGTGGCCACAAAGAAAGTGCTCCGTCTTCAAGACAGAACCTGGATTTGGTCATCCTGGTGTGCCAAAAAAACACCTATAAAACAAGAGGTCTCAAAGGCATGGCATCAAACGACTAAAACACTTCTTCCTTTGACCATCTTTCAGGTCAACACCAACTCCCTGGTTCACGGGCTCTCCCTTTTCCGCCTCACCTTGAAGCCTCTGACCGCCTCACGATGATTGGCAAAGCCGGTGCACCCCTGTGTGGGCTCCGTTCCCCCCGGGCACTCGATGGCGGCTGGACACTCGACCGGCTCGGGCGCATGGTGCTCGGGCTGCCGGTGAGCGTGCTTCGCGCGCCTGGGCGGGTCTGCTCGGTGAGGGCCTTTTGCCGTGCCAAAGCGTTTTTGAGGCGTTCGACCTCATTCTTCGCAGAGATGGTCTGTGCTTGGATCCGGCGTGCCTCACTTAAGGCTTCTTGGAAAGCCGCTTGGAGCAACTCTGGATCTTCAGTGATTGTGGGCTTCTGCCTTTTCAAGCGCTCGAGCTTCTCATTGAAGGCATGGACCTTCACCAACTTCACCTGAAACCACTCCACCGTGCAGTGGCCCGACCATACCCGCTTGCTGGCCTTCTTGCTCTCACTGCTCTCCAAGTCCACGAAACCCAATGAAGGCGCGACAGCTTGGCAGGGCGCCAAATGAGCAGGCCATGAGGAGTGGGGCCCAGGAGTTAAGCTCTTGGACAACTTCTGGGTCACCTCGCTGCTCGTCTCCGCCAAGCGAGCATGTGCAATCTGAAGACACTCCCTCAGCATCTTCAAGACCTTGGGGCTTCTCGAATCCCTCTTCTCTTCGGGCCTCGTCCGCGTACGTCCGACCCGAAGCTTGGAGCTGGAAGGAGTGCCCGCCGCCCTCGTGGAGGCCCGCAGCTCTTGGAGGTCCAACTCCGATTTTTCCCGCAAGCTGGAGATGCGGCGACTGCGGCGCCTCTCCTTGGGCACCTGCCAGAAGGATCTGTTTCTTTTTTTTTTGCGGGGGGGGGGAAGATCGATGGAACAAAGGAGTCAAACAAACAAAATTGCTGTTCAAACAACATTTCCATGTGAAGCATATGGTCCATGGTTTAACAACTATAGACCATCATAAACCAAGCACCTCGCTTCCCGCGCTAAAAAAGGGATCATTCCAACCCGCAGAGTTTGGAGTCTCATGGAGTCTTGGTAACCCTGATTCAAACAGATTCAAGATCGAAAAAATAAGAAAAAAACCGCGATTCCACACTCACGGATCTGTACCGTGTTGCTGAAACATGATAGATCATGTTCGATACTCCGTACCATGGGAGAAACCTGATGAGGTTAGATGAGGCTGGGTACACATGAAGCAGCTCTGACTACAACTTCTCACCGCTTCGCAGGACCGCTTAGCTCCGCGCGCGCCTCCAATTGGAAGTCTGCTGGATCCACTTGAGACCGGGGCGTCTCCTCCTCGCGCTCGGCGGCCTTCCGGACCAGGATGTTGGAGGCCCGGGTCCAGTCTCCCAGCAGTGAGTCGCTGATGACGGAGTTCAAGGACATGACGCCGCTGCCTCGGCGCAGCACCGAGGGCCGCTGAACGACTCCAACCGTCGCGGCGGAGTCTCGGGCGGATAACGGGCGTCGATCGGGGCGGGGGAGAGGTCGCATCAGCGGAATGAACACTTGGAAGAGCTTTTTTGGGAACCGTTCTTCCAACACTGATTATTATACTGTATAAACAAAGTGGATCCTCAGAAGTCCCAAAACAACATCCAAAAGGATTGTGCCGGAACCTTCCAACAAATTCGTTTGAGGACAACACTTAAACGTCTATAGCTCCCCGTGGCCCAAAAGCATCCAACATCTATTGGAAGGTCCAGGTGGGTTGAATTTTCTGAGGCACCATGGCTTTTCCCCGTTGTAGTCGCGGCGCGGCGAGTCGCTTGCAGCTCTGGAATCAAACTCACCACGCGTCGAGTGATGCGGTTGAGTGCACCAAGCTTAGCATGTCTATTGGGTATCAATTGTTCGTGGATCAGGTGGATCATGGTTGATCTTGAGCGCTTGGTGAGACGATGTCTACCTGACCTATGTGTGAAGGCTCCTACTGTGCAACAATCTTGCATATCTTGCATGCTACGGGTCTAGTCTAGCACCTCAAGCAGGACAGTGCGACTCTCAGTTGGGCCGCGACTTGTGAAGCACAATGCAGTGACTGCGCGTGGCATCTTTGATGGTACCCCGGTACCTCCCAAGCCAAGCCGAATAATTCCAACGGCCTTGTGGGCATCATGTCTTTTTCAATTGATACTCTCAACTTTGGTTCCAGTGAGAGACTCTCAATCATGTGCTCCAGTACTGTGGCCCGGCATAGAAGCCAAGTGAGTCCCAAACGGATGGAAACAATGGGAACAATAGAACATAATAAAGGAACCTGGACATGCATTGGATGTCCTGGAACGAATTCCCTGACAAAAGTGGATCTTGAATCTTGAACCTATCAAGGGTATGAGCCGCCGACCTCGCACCACACTCATCCCACGCCTAGGAGACCGGCCACGATCAGCCTTGGAAAGGGAAGCGCTGAGTTCCCTGTTTGCTGAGGTTGTGACCAGCCCACATGGTAATGTATGGTAATGTCATGCGATATCAACGTGACAAGACTATTGCTCTCAGTCTTGTTCCACAAGCCTAAAGCTGATACTGTCATAGAGCGTCAAAGAAGCAAGCTCAGTTGCTCAAACCCACATAAGCCCTGAGCAGGCCCTCCACAATGCCCGAAACCTCCAGGAGAACCTTTGATGAGCCTGGAAAATCGGCATAGTATATAACTAAGATCTAGGAACATATCATTATATACATCTATATATATATATATACACATATATAATTATATAATTGCAAACGGATGCAAACGGGTTGTGGCCAACCTCGGGTGGGGCACACACCTGTCCTGCCATCTTAGTTGGACATTGGAACACCTGGCCTGCAACCTCGTTCAGCCTCCACGCCAGGACCTCACCCTCTGACCAGCAATTTTGTCACCTAGCAAGGCCTATTTGCATCAGCAGCTCCTCAGAAAAAAAGGACAACACCACCCACCAGCAGCAGCAGCAACAGCAGCAACAACCAACAACAACAACAACAACGACTACTACAACAACAACAACTACTACTGCTGCTGCTGCTGCTGCTACTGCTACTGCTACTGCTACTACTGCTACTACTGCTACAGCTACTACTACCACCACGACCACGACCACGACCACGACCACCACCACGACCACGACCACGACCACGACCACGACCACTACCACTACCACTACCACCACCACCACCACCACCACGACTACTACTACTACTACTACTACTACTACTACCGCCACTACCACTACCACTACAACTAACAACAAGAAAAACAAAACAAAGAACAGTCCCTCCTGCAGCACCTCTTTTGGCCCTCAACTCGCTCGCCGCTTCGCTCGCCGATCTTCAGCGTTCCTCGTCCCTCTTCGCGGTGCTCGTGGGTGGGCGGCGTAGCCGGAGAGATCACCACATTCGCCAGTCGTCCAGGCAGTTCGCCTCGTTTTGTTGGGGTGTATGCCAGTGATGGCCCAGCTTCCAGCGTCCAGCTTCTTCCATGATGCGATGGCACAAGGTTAGGTCATTTTCTCTAAGATGCAGCTCCAGCTTCCCCTTGTTTTGCGATCATCTCTCTCACGTTGAGGTTGTCCAATGGGCAGGTGGCCTTCACTGCCATCCAGCGATCGATACAAGCCTTGTGGAAATAATGTAAGCACGGCAGCCGTCGGACCTCCTCCCCTCGGCGTGTTGGTGACAATGAAAGGTATGAAACACTTGAACACATAAGGCCATACTTTGAGCATCTTCGAGTAACGAGTGGTCCATGAATAGCGATAGAAAGGGTGTCCAAAAAACCAAATCAAACAAGCATTAGATCAGCAAGGTCTCCAAGCACCATGTCCTCATAGCACACGGCGCAGGGCTCAGCACAGTGCGACTCCAGTCGTTGGCATGGGACTAAATCCATGAGATTGTCCACCTTGGCAAGTGATCTGCAGCAAGCTCCAACAGTGAACATAAAAGGACCTAGCCTAATACAAAGGAACTCAACAAACAGGAAAACTAAACTATAGCAACAATAAAATGCAAAGACATCAACGGAACAAATGCTGACATTGATGAAGAGACCAAGCAACCAATCAAACAAGCAGCTCCTCAATCATATACAGTCAAAAACACGCACATCTGTGTTATCTGCTCCCCCCAAAAAATCCTCTGAACATTGCCTAGGAGCTACTGCTTCATGCCTTCCCCAGGTCTCTTCCACCAGTTCCTCACTGCCAGCGCGCTCCAGTTGCGCATCGATCACCGCCCAGCGCGCCTCGAGCGCCGCATGCAGCGGCGAGCGCTGCGCGCTGCGGCGCGCCGCCCGCGCCGCGAGGCCGGGCCGCGAGGCCGCAGAGGAGGTGACCACGGGGAGCGGCACATGGACCATCGACCAGGTGAGACCGGTCGCCTCCTGCGAAGTGCGGACGAGAAGGTGGTCACGGATGGCAAGGACGACGGTGGTGATGGTCTGGAGTTGGGAAGGAGAAGGTGGTCGGAGGGGGCAGCTTCGGCCGAAAAGGCTGGAAATGAAGAAATGGACAGGAAACCATTGAAACCATGTTAAAAACATTAATGGGCTCCTTTAACATCTTTTCATTAGAATGCTTTTGTTTGAGCTCAGTGGAAGAATCAACTGCCAAGATTGCGGATTTTTCCCAACATCGATCAACCCACAATGACTTAATAATGCAATGTCCCATCTGCTCCGCCTCGGCTCTGAGTTGACACTGCCATGGCTTGGTCGCCTGAAGCTGCGGGGGCGCCTGACCAGGCCAGCGTGCCTCAGTGTGGCGTGCGTGGAGGGCCGCCAACTCCTCCAGGACCCGCGCACGAACCTGACGCGAAGGTGTGGATGGCGTGGCCATGGCCTGTCAAACCACACGTCGTGGGGATCGGAATCGCTTCACTCGGATGGAGTGGGTGTCCGTCGCCATTCCGGACTCCCAGCAGTTCCAAGTGCATCCTGGTATCACACCATCGAGCCTAGCAACACACCATAATATATACCAGTTGAGCTGAACAAGAAATTGCCAACCTATGGGTCAAGTCACGCATGTCCCAGTCACGCGATCCTCCCTGTCGGTTTCTTCACATGTCTGCGAGAAAGGAAATCCATTCCCTAGACTGCAAAACATGGTTGACCTGGTTTTTGTAGAGTAAAATCCTTAAGTTGATTTGGTGAATTAAATTAATTAATGGTTGTTGGAAGCCTAGGGATTCAAACCATGCTACGACCTCATCTTCAGGCCACCGCCGCGAAGCCGTACGTACGGAGTGGCGACCCTGTATTGCCTGTAACCAGACGGTTTGATACGCTGCTCCCTTAGGGTTTCGGGTTCCAATGAACCGAACACGCGCGAGATACACACGCGTTGTCCCTGCAATCAAGTAAATGATTCCCCACGTTTATCGGTTTGCCAATGCTCACCCCATGTCCAGAATCCCCACACAATCCCCACACGACACAAAAACACAGAAAGTGATTCAACGACTGCAGCGGCTCGCCCGGCCTGATCTTGCAGCTCTGAATCAAAGGCCACGCTCTCCAACAAGGTCACTTCGAAGTTCCCTCGACGCAAACATCTGGGCGCGTGCATCCACAAAGCCTCAGAGGCCTCCTCGGTGGAAGACCTCAGCGCGTGGCGGTGCATGACAAGGGCTTTGTTAACCGCGTGCACTCCTCAATCTTATGTTCAACTATGTTGATATTCTACATATTGGATTACATACAATAAAGAACGGCGGCTCTTCCGACAAGCTCGACGAACCCCTCCGCGCAAACAAAAGCAAGCGTATTGAGATGCACAAACTGCTGAGCCCCTCTTTGGGCTTGGATTCCACCAAATCACATGGCACCATCCCCGAAACACGGCCAGCCAAACGCGGCACAGAAACTGCAAGAGAACACCGAGTCGGAGTTGCCCAGGAAGGAAGAACTCGCGGCAAGCCATGCAACATCTGGCTACATCGCCATACTCAAAGGTGTGCACGTAGAAGCTGGGCAATGCTGGCATCTCCGCCGGCGACTCCAAATCCACCACATCATCCGCGGTCCCCGCGGCCACTGCCGCGGAGGCTCTGGACCGTGACCTGGATCGCTGTCTGGGAGACGGTGCAGGACTGGCAGGTGCGACCAGCGCGAGGTCATCCTGCAGCGATGTCAGGAGCGAAGATCCCTCGGATCGCTGAGTCTTCTCAGTGTAAACAAGATTAGGAATGCCCGGCACCTGAGGGTGATACATGGTCTTTGGAGATGCTGGTGGGGTGTGGTGCATTAGAAGGAGTCTTTATATATCTTAACCACATGGAAGCAGGATGAAGGAAGGATGCACATGAATGGATTGCTAGTAGCAGACTAGTCCTACCGGTGAGGGTGACGGTTCATGGCCTCGAACTGGGTCACTCAAAGGCCGCCCACTTCCATCTGACCCACCCCCAACCTCACCAGAACGACCAGAACGACCAACAACTGTTCAGAAGTCCGGTGGGTTGATGGATCCCGGTCTTCCAAGGGGTTGCCACCTTCGGGCCATCCCAACATCCCCACCAGACTGCGGACGGCCCATCAGGCCAGGGGTGGTTGAAAGGAGTCGTTCAGGGATTTCTCGGCATCAAACTGGATGATCGACAGCCCAACTCCTCGTCACTGGAGATCACATCTGCTACTGCCGTCTCCTCCAAGTCGGCCTCTTCGAGCTGCACCAGTGCGTCACCCACTCGTGCGGCAGCGGCGTTTTGCGCTAAACGCCTCTGCCTTGGAACTAAGGGAGTGGGGCATGGTTTCAGGGCCAGCTCTCAGCGGTGGAATAAAGGGTCATAAAATGTCATAAAAGAATGGTTCATGATCAAAATTCAATTGTTCTGCACCAAGAAACGGAAATTATACGGAATTTCCCTTTTGCTCACAATTCGAGAGCCCGAATCCAGTGTGGTTGGGGAACACTTTTAAAAGGACAAATCAGTTGGGGAAGCTGTGGGCACATCGCTTATACCGCTTGTACCCAAGAAAGGCGATTGAATTGCCAACTTCCCAATCACACCGTCTTCGATTTCTCATCTGCAAACTTCTGCTCAACGTTTCAATTCTTCTAGGAAGCATGAACTTTGCGTGCATTCACGGTAGAAAAGAGTGCTACGTACTGCTACTGCAAGCACCGAGATAATTGCCATTTCCTTGCATCGCTACTAGAATCGCTAAGACTAATTTTTGATGGATGATGCTGTGCAGAACAATGGTTGTAATTACAATGTAATTACATATATCTCGGAATATCTCGGTAGCCCTCCAATTTTCATCTAACCACGCAATAGGTGCAAGTCACAAAGTTCGGATTTTCAGGTGTTGGTTTCCAATAATGTGTCTATTTCATTTCAATGCCCCATCCTACTCCTCCTACTCCACACCAGACATCTGCTCCAAGCAGCGCCCGCTGTGCCAACTGCACTTCCAGCACTTCCAGCTCATGGCCCCCGGTGCGCGGGGGCAGGTCCGGTCCATAGGTCGGCGTTTCCCCCACGTCCACGTCCATGGCAGCACACCCGATGGACACGACACGTCCGGTTGCGGAGAAATCCAGGAACCATAAAGGAACCCATGTCAGGTATAGGATGAATCATTCATCTGACGGAATTGGCATCCGGATTTGCTGGAATTTCGATGCAGCCCCAAAAACACGTAGAACATAGGGTCGATTCAATTTCAGTGTGCTGCGGACTTTTCGGGGGGCCTGCGAACTTTTCAGACACACACCACGACTTATTGGAATCCACTCCAACCTCGAATCATTGGCTCTCTACTTTGCCAAACGTGGGTTCGGCTGCGCAACATAAAATGTACGTCTCGCATAGTTGTGTAAGTGTCGGCAGTGTGATAGTACTGCGTAACATATAACGCAAAACTATATATTTCCAGTTTCTAGACCATCCGACTGGTGTTGTTTGGATACTTCTGGGCCCTAGCGGTGCTTCGCGGCTTTTAGAGCCACACACTTGGAAGCATGATGTTTTGATAGTCTTTTGATGTCTTCTGCGATACATGTTGCACCAGACGTCTTGCAGCTGCTTAGAAGTGCGTAGAAGTGGAGTCCGAAAACCATCAAGCCCGAAATGCACCAAAAGCTGGGCGTTTGCCTGCTGCTGATCGCCTTCAAAAGCTTTTGTTTGGCAATCCCTTTCCTCAGAACTTGGACTTCCTAATATGATCTAACATGGCACAACCTCCTGCCTTGCGAGAAAAAGTTTGCCACTCACCCTTGTAGATCACACCGCCACATGAACCAAAAGGGTTAGCTTGGGTTAGCTGGGGATGGGGAAATGGCGTTAAGCATGTCAAAGCTTGTTAAACTTCTTGGACAAGTCAAAGTCTGGCAAATGTATGTTCCTAGAGTGTCAAGTCGTCCATCAATCGCCCAATGGCAGCCAGGTGAAACACCTACCGAATTCACCAAATTCCGAACAAACAACAACACCCCACCAACTCTCTCCACCGCTCCACCGTGACGTGGCAGCTTCGGTTGGGGCAGGAGAACCCGGTTGGGACCGCGTTGGGCAACAGGTCAAAGATCCAACTCTTTAAACATCTCTGGCGAGCTTCTTGAAGGTTCTGAAGGCCAATTTCTCAAAGATGTGGGCCCAAAAAACATGTGTGTGCGCTGTTCGATTGGATCGGCTTGGTCCCAAGATAGCGTTCGCCAACGTGCACCCATGTGTCGCCACTGATTTGAAGTACAGTACAGGTTGGCTTTCAAAGGCCACTGCCTCTCGGCACATTCTCCGCCTTTGCGCCTTCCATTGATTGGCTGGAGTCGAGTCTTCCCGCTAAGAGGTCAAGCCTACTTGGTGAAGGCGGCCCCATACAGCCCTTCTCTCCACAGACTAGGTCCTTCTTCTGTACCACGAAGCAACATCGATCCCAACTCCGAGCTCAATCAACACACACGCATCCCTAAGCAGTTTGGCTCCTCACTTTGAGTTGGCCCTCCTTGCGTCGCTCCTTCCCACCACGGAAAACCCATTTTTTCGATGTGACCGGCGCGGTGTCGCTGCGCTCAGGCGATGCGCTGGAAGATGTGGATCCCCATCTCCGACGTCGCCAAGTCACCTCTGAGCGGACCCGCGAAGAGCGGCTTGAGCGGAGCTGCGGTCAAAGAACCATGGAAGAAGATCAAACCCGAACCTAATCGATGAAATGAATTGGAACATGGATGCTGATGCACGCCAGTTTTAGATGTCTTTTTTAGCATGATGGCTTGAATGGCATCTATATGTTCCAAACGGCTAGGCCTACCCACACAAATGTCGCAAAATCAATTCCCAGTCCGGCTTCTTGTTTCGGCAGAATCAACGGCCACCCACACGAGTGCAAGACCAAATCAACAAAGCCGAAGCCCGTCTCTCTTGAGTTGAGCGTCTTTTTTCAGGAGCATCTGCAACATCTGCAAATCATAATATAATTGCATATAATATAATATGTAGTAATTATATTACAATTTACAATGGTGTCAGAATAGATTGCACAAACCAACAAATGTCCTTTATATGGGAGTCCATGTTCACCGTATTAACCATACTCTCTCTCCCTCTCTCTCTCTGAAACCACTGTGCAAATACTGGCTAGCACACCAGCATCGTAAAGTTCATCAACGCTCGCCCAGGGTCTTAGTAGAGATGCTCTTGGTTACTAGTAGCTTCTTGCCACTTATATAGTAGTAATGTGAGGAGCTACTAATAGCTTGTTCCTAGTAGCGATGCCCTTTGTTCCTAGCGTCCTTGTTACCACCTCAGTGCCGGCACCGAAAACGGGTCCCTCCAAGTGGCTCCACTGTCCAGGGTTCAGCATCTTGGCTGCCTACGGCGTTCGTGTGACGAAAAACCGCGATGGTTTTCGAACCGCACGTGACCAAACATGGAAACACATGCTCATGCAAAACCACAACAAATCAATCTATTTGATTCTATTTGTATCTATTTGTTGATTTGTTCATTCTGTTCCCTCTTCAAGCCTTTCTTTTCAGACTCTGTCCACATCCAGGTCCTTCTCTTTGAACCCGCGAATCACACTCGGCTCGGCGCAGTCGACTATCGATCGCCACCAGGTTGATCGATGTCGACCGAGTGGAGCAAGCGGACCGAGCGGCGCCTCGCCTCCGAGAAGGCAGGTCCAAATCGGCTCTTGAGCTCATCCGGCTGCAGCCAACCCAGGTCCCCGATCCTAAAGACGGGGTGAGACATCGGCGCGAGGAGCTGAAGAGGAGCTGAACAAATGGCTTTCGCAATTGGGATATTTTGGAATGTGGTTTTCTTCCTCCATCTGAATCTGTACTTTCTAAATCATCTCAAAAATCTTGAATTCAATTCATATCTATTCAACATTCCTTGAAGGGGTAGTTTGTTTGCTTCTACCTCGACAGCTCGCAAAACCCGGTCGGGCACCTCCCAGCCTTCTTTCCCTTCAGCCCAGGGACATGCCGCCACCCTTCTGCGCTGTGTTGCATTCGGAGAGCTCCTGATGGCACCAGCGTGGGGATCATTGACTTCCAGCTACTGGTGGGGATCATTGGCCTTGGACATGGCCCCAATCCTGTCACAGTGGACGATGATTGCCTTTACTGAAGAATATAGTTATGGCCAGCCACACGCCGCCACTATTGCAGCAAATCAGCCCAAAGTAATCAGCCCCTGAATATTGGGTTTGCTGTTTCACGGGGTGATTCAAGTGAGGACCTTCTGTGTTGAACACCGCGGCTGAACCAGCTAAGCTAAGCTTGTCGACCTAAGTTATGAGTCGTGAGACATTTCTCAAAAACTGTGGGTGTGTGACCCTGGCTACTGAAACATCTGACCTCTTCAAGTCATTCTTGATGTTCAGAACCACTCTGAAGGACTCCACCAGCACCCTAAAGCTCTCACGTGATAAATCATGCACCTTCAAACATTCCAACGTACACCGTAAACGTCTCGCTGCTGTTTGCGTTGCAGAATGCTTGCTTCTCATATCGAGGCCCGGACGAGGCCGGGAGCTTCTCAAAACAGAAACCAACACTTCAGCCATCTCTCACTCACTCACTCACTCACTCTCTCTCAAATAGAAAACACCTGGCCGCGGGCGCCTTGCACAGGGAGGTGAACTTGGGTGTCGGCTGGAAGGCTGCCGCGCTGGGCTTTTTGCCCGCCGGGAGCTTGATGGTCTTGGCCTGGAGACCAAGGCAGACCGAAACAGGTGGATTTTCCCCACACAAAACCGACCACTATGACCACTGGTGGCGGTGGATTCCAAACTGAACCAGGAAGATGTGCAGTTTGCGGGGTGGTTTTCTCCAAACGACCAAAATACAGTTCTTTACATGGATCTCAAACGGGCTGTCACACCAAACGGGCTCACCGTAGGGGTCACGGTGTAAAGTGATGGTTGTGTAGGTGAATCACGTTGAATCAAATTGCCGGCGACCAATTGATCTGGGTTTGTACAAACATCAATTTCTATTCAATCTGGACAAACAACTCCAATTTTGCCCTTAACAAAGGAGCCCCCCAAGTGACATCCTCGTGCTTTTGCCCCCAGAATGGTTCCCAGCTCATGGCACCTTCCACTGGTTCGTTGGCCATGCTTCAGAAACAACCAGGGACCAAGAACACATGAACACATCTGAGTCATCTGACTGAGTCATCCAGGTTCTGTTTTGTTGCAAATGATCGCGACTTCACGCGAACTTATCCAACAACTGCACAAAGTGGCATCACTGGAAGACGCTGGTGCAAACGCTTGGTTTCCAAAAACGGGCCTCTAGAATCAACTCCTGCAGCGCTTGCCGCAAGATCGCCTCTGCCTCCTGCGACTCAAGTCTTTGTCACACGTTTGGGACAAGATCTCGTCTTGCCAAAACCTCTGACGAAAGAATGGTATTCACAAATAGTTTCAAGGCTGCCCCCCAGGCACTTTCACAAAGACACAAACAACACATAACAAAAACTGTAACTGTACAGGAACCAGCGCGATCCGGGGGAGGGGGGACGAAAGGGGGGACCCGGTCACCGGTCCAATCCGGGGGGCGGGGCCTTCAATTCGGGCATTGGAATCGGTTTGCCATGGTTTAGCAGGACCCACGTGATGTCACAATGACATGAACTCCAGGCACCAGAGTTTTCCAACCCAAGGTTTTGGGATGCATCCCTGTGGTGCACACACCAATGGCGCACGACACAAATGGCCCGGCAGAATTGAAAGGTATGACAACTACCTGTGGCGGTCAGTCAAACCCTGGTGAACAAGGGAATGAACTTGGTGTCACCCGCCCGGGCCTGTGGCTTTGGGTTGCTTTTGAAGTATAGTGGACCGTGGATTGAGAGTAGATGGCACAGACCCCAAGAGGTGGTTTATATGGACCCCCATCTAAAGGACATAGGGGTTTGTGCCATCTAATCTGAAACCACTGTAGGTAAGTAGTAGCATTAAAAAGTTACATTATATATATTTATATTTATAATATGCGAACGCTGACTTCTTGGCAACCCAACTGAACACCACCAACCAGCCGCGCCATTTCAAGATTTTCAAGTTCGTCATCAACGATCTTCCAGGTCAAAGCCGAAAATTACCCTGCCATTTTCTGGTCTATTTGGACGAGGCAAAGCGCTTGTTCCATTGTACTACTGGAAAACGACTGAGTTGCACTGGCATGGATTTGTTGAATTGCTTTTTCTTATGATCCTTCATGTGCAGGACAAGCGCCATAAAACATGAGCCTGAAGCAAATGAAATAACCTCTGTTAGGGATCATCGTGGGGCTCCCGGTCCCAATGTTAGATGCTCATCGACCCTGTCCAAAAAAAAATATATTGATTAATTATACTGCTTGAGTGATTATCTTACCCCAAAAAAAAACAAATCAAACACATAATTGGTGGGTTCTCTCCCCAAAACACCCTCCCTCCTTGTCCAACCAGTCCCCAGGCCTGTGCGCTTCTGCTCACTGGCACATTACGCACCGGATCGAAGGGTGAGCTGCAATCCTGGTGTCGGACCTCGCCGCATGTGGACGGCGGATGGCCATCAGGTGTGACGGAGGGCCATCAGGTGTGACACACGCGGGTTGCTGGACCCTCCTTAACCTCTAAGGGCCTATGAATGGAAGCTTTTGGCCAGGGTGTCGTCCTGGTTTATGGATCTACTGGCACCCTCTGAGGTACGGTGATTGAAGACACTGTCACTTGTAGCCTTGGAGGGTCCAAACACCGTACCTCAGGTGCTACTTGGATCCCCAGGGATCAATCATCGCTAAGGCGATGCCTTGTCCCATTGAGATCGCTGAGGGTTCTCCATCGTAGATCGCTGAGGGGAGATGGCCATCGACGGTTTTACATGACCCTGGGAGGCAAAGACTATCAACAGAATGGTCTTTAGGTGACCCGAAAAGGAATATGCTTTACTGTCAGTGGGGCCAAATATAGTCTTTGGACTTCTAGGGTTGGCTCACTTTTGACCTGAGATGTCAGGAAAGTCTGCCGGGGCCCTGAACCGAGTGCCTTCGGCCGGCCGGTCGGGGGTGATGTAGTACAACTCACTCAATTCACACACCAGAAGCTCTAGTGGCGTCTGTCGGACAAGGCTCACCGATGTTTTTATGGAACCAAACTCGAAGGGCCTGCATCATCCCAAAAGGCCACATGTTTTTATGTTTTTTCAGCAAAACCCGATCGCGCCGGTTGCACAAACTCTTTCTACCACGGTCGACCGTGACCGCATGACTGTCAGAGTCTGCATGCACTCCCCAATGCTTTAAAAGCAAACCGCAGCACCCCCAAAAAAAACCTATGGCCCATGTTAAGTATACGCCGGCCACTGAGACATTGTGACTGGCAAAATGCCACGCATTAACACACAAGTATGCTGCCGTGCTCAGCTGTGGCTGATGTTTTCTAGTGGAAGGACATGTGCCGCAGCCAAGCTACCACGATGTGCCGCAGCCGGACGCTTTCCGCTTCCTGGCTGCTTTCAGCGGATGGGTTTTGAGGAGCTGGTTCTGGGAAGAGGCTGCAATTAGGTTCCATCAAATCTATTAGTTCATTCATTTCTATCCTAGCCGTCCTATGCTATACACAACGCCAGGATCCCCATGTGCGCAGGGCATGAGCACGGATTGGAGTTGGGTGGCTCCCCCCTCGAAAGCGCCTTGTCGTTCGAAACATGGTAGACCATGCTAGGCCATGTTTCATGTACACACTTGGAAGTGGAATAATAACCTTTGCATGACGGTCATCGTTCAGCCGCTCACCCTCCGTGGCGCCACCGATCGCTGGTGGCCTTCTTCATCCGCTTGGCAGCAGGTTCTGCAATCAGCTTGTCGTCCTTGGGGACGAAGAAGGCCACGATGGTGGTACATTGCCTTAGAGAAGTCATGTAGACCCATTAATTCGGCATATCCCATCACCAGGGCCCGGTGGATGATGATGGTTAGGTTGCAGGCCTTTCTCAATAATAGATCTTTCACCGACTGTTACTGGTAATGGGCTATACCCCAACAAGCAGTTATATAATAAAATGTTCATTTGGATAGTGTACCCCATATGTAGGTCTTCTTAAGAGTCACAAGTCTACATTCGACGCAAATCCAAAGAATCGAATACGGATCCGAACTTGTCTGGGCTCGCGGGTCAGCACGTTGGATTAAATTTTAAATAGGACATATCGGCAAGTTTCTCTACCAACGCAAGAAGTCCACATATGCCTACATGAATCATAAGAATATTACCACAGCATTTGCACAGAACTTGCTAGAGTCGGTGACCCTCTCAAAACACACAATCCCCGCTTGTGCTCCAGCAAACTCATCAAGCCCACGCGGCCCACGCGGCCCACGTTGCTGTCTCACGTCTGTACATCCTGACCTCCCAAGGGGTTCATCTTTTCCACCAGTTCGATCGATCCAGCATGGGTTTCCCAATGGAAACCAAGCTAACCCGCAGTGCAAGGCTTCAAGCAGGGCGGACTCCAGTTTGCTCGCGAGGATGGAAAAGGGTTTCCGAAGTGTCCCCCAACAAAGATGAAAGGAGGTTAAAGCATATCTCCTGGGCAAGTGCAAGTCTCACGCCAGTTTGAAGTGTCACCTGGTTTCACACATGACATGGGTAAACTTGTCCATGCTCCACCCCAACAAAGTCGTGAACTGACTGGTGCTTCGAACTATACTAAATCCATCTAATTCCATTCCCTCATTCCCTACAGATCGCACTTGCCATCAGTGAAGTGTCCAAGCACTTTGGAGCACTTGCCACCCGCGCTGCGTGGCGACGCGCTGCGCGTTCGCCGAGCCGCGCTTGACCGTTCTGTGGCACGGTTGCCGCCCGGCTGGCGATTTCGCCGCTCGCCGCCTCGGAAGGCGGACTGGATCGAGGACCGGGAAGAAATGGGCGTCATGACAGGGACTTCTCATATCCTCCTTGAGCTACACCAGGTGGGGAGTCCCAGTAGGGTAGGCCGACAGGGATTTCGACCTTCTCAGTCCTTGTGTTTTTTGACCTTCGACTGGCATAGACCTGAACGTTTTGCAGGCTCACGGGCCTGTCAGTCTGCAACGAACCCCGTCACTCACGCCCTGTCTGACTCACGGTCTGGAGTTTCTCCTGTCTGACTCGTGCTGGAATCTCGTGCTGTCTGACTCATGGACAAATGTGATGGAAGTAATTCCAAAAGGAGTTCCTTCTCGCATGGAGTTCCCATGAGTTCCCATGTCTGCTACACGAAGGACTGTTATAGTACGCGAGCGTCTTCAACTCAAAAGAGTTCTAAACACCACTGGTAACAGGGAAACTCAACTGTGTACAACCCTTTGATTCATGCACCTTCATAATACACCACTAATTCATCAGCCCTTGGCCCTGCCCAGCTGCCCGTGGCTTCTGTTCGAAGTCTGCGATGGTCACAGAGGCCTGGAAGGGGCCGTGGTGGAATTCAGGACGTGATCGAAGCATGTCATCCATCTTGGCGCCGGATGCTAAGTCTGGAGCAACGTACATTTACTTCCTACAATGCTGGATGCGTTGTATATATATATATATACGTATATATTAAATGTATATATATATATATGTAATATGTATATATATATATATTGTAATAAAAAATAGTTAGGGAAGTACGTGTCATCATGGGTCTTCTCTTTCAGGGCCTACCGGGTATACCCGCCTCCCTTCTTTTCTCCCTCTCTCCCTCCGCTCCGCGCTGTTCGCGGGGTCTCCCCGCTCCGCAGCGCGCTCGCCTGGTCGGTGGGGATCTGCGAGACGGGCGCCGAGGTCAACATCAACGCGACGTGGCGTTCCGCCCAGGAGAGGTCCTCGGTGTTCGCTTCGGTTCCGCATCGGTCCGGTGGGTCCTCGGACGGTCCGAACCGGTCGGGCGGTGTGGGCGGGACAGGGCACTGGGAAAAGAAAACGAATTGCATGAAAGCATTGTGAAGTCATCTGATGCCAAGCATCTAGCAACGATGGGGTGCGGCACAACATAATATGTTTATAGTAGGATCTAATGAAATGTGATCTATATATTGCTTGTTGATGTTCCTGAATCTCCCTAACTGCCTTCACTGCCCCTGCCCGCCTGCCCAAACCTCTGTCTTCCCAGACCAGTACTCCCAGCTCCAAGCGACTGTGTAGCGGGTCTCGGGGACGGACCGTACCAGCTTTAAGCTGCCAGGGAGTCCTCCCATGGATCCTTTCCAGGCGCGATCGCCGATGGACCTTGCCGCGGTCGAACTGCAGTCCAGGCAGGGCAGCTCCGGGCCTATTTTGTGATTCTCAGGGTGAAGATGGGCGAGGAACCAATGCAAGATAGGCCCGGTTCTTCAGTGGTTCTCATTGATTCTTCAATGTTTTTTGCAGTGCAAAGTGAGAGAAACAAACATGGAAGAATCAAACGTTGAAGAAGAGTGCAACATGTCCAATTGCATAGTGCACGACGTCCCGGGCACTCCATGTATGGAATATATATATATGCCTATGCAGCGCCTATGCATTGAACATCATTGAACCCTGAACCCACCCCAATGAATGTATTTGATGCCATACATGGAGTCTCTGCGTATGAGCAATGGAAGACTCCAGGTGATAATCCAATTCCCTGCCGCTACCCCGGGGCCTGGAGACGGCGGTGGTGTGCCCTTGCGGGTTGCTGGTCATCAGCTTGCCGTTCTCGCCCGGGAAGACCATGCCACCGTTATCCACCAAGAACTTCCTGAGAGAAGTTAAAGTCAAGAAGTCACGAACTTCCTTGAGTCGCTTCCACCAAGAACTTCCGGGCCCAGCTTGTTTTGCTGGATGATGCATTACGTGTCCGTAGACGTGCTGTTTTTCTCTCTGTCTTCATGGAGGGAACGAGGAAAACAACCACTAAGGGTGTTCTAAGTTCTCTCTGTGTTGCACCACTGCGATATGTGAAACCTCGCATGCGTCGGATCACCACCACGATCACCCATGTGTGAAGACTCTCCAAGCAGGGAAGTCTCAAAGCCTCCTTGTCTGCAGAAGCACGTTTAAAGCGCAAGATGGGACAGTATAAAGATGGCCTACATGGAAAAGGACGGTGTCTTGATGTGTCTTGTTGCCGACTGGGACCAGGCTTTTACGGATCCTCATGGGTGCGGAATCAACAAGCTCTTGAAAGGGCAACTCCTCATACGACCCCTCATGTTGTTCCTTTCGCTTGGCGCCACAGCGGCCTCACTAGCTGCTAGTCAGAATAACGTCGCCGCTTTTCTCAGAAGGATTGCTCAGAAGCTACACCCAGATCTTATGCTGGAGTGCTCATCATGGGCGGCCCAAATTGGCGGATCGGGTGAGCACGGTGGACATCGGTGGACCCCCGAGTCTCCGGCCCGTCGAGACCACGGCTTTCCTACAAAGCCCCGTAACGGTATGGAAAAGCACCATCCGACACCAAGCAACATTGGCATTGACTATTCAATTCAAATTACAACATGAACATAAAAAGGGCTAGTACTAGTACATGTCTTATCCTCAATGAAACTTCACTCGAACTTAGGAGCTTTTGCTCCTACCGACTGCCAGATTCAAAGGTCACTGTCTAGTTTTGTCCAACGGTTTGTCTTGCAGGTTGCGAGGTCATGGAGAGCTACCTTGGCACCTGTTGGAGAACATTTTCTCCAGCACAGCAACCAAGAAAAACAAAAGCACACTGGCCAACATGGTGAAGAATCCAGGAGATTTGCCATGCTGGTTGCTCCGCTCCGAACACTCTGACATACAAGTGGCTCAAGTATGTTCAAATGAAATATGCTCAAACATATAGATGCTCACATTCAAATCCTGTACCACAATTTTAGTAGTTATATAGTCTAAAACTTCAATAACAGGTTGGGGCAACCCCAGGGCCGTGGGCCTTGGCCGACACACATTCGCCCGTCCTCCTGCCACCTCCCTCACCCCCCTTGATGATGAGAGAACACAGGTACAACATGTCTTGATCAATCAAACAGAAACCGTCTCCAGGATGGTCCCATATCTCCATGTTGACTAAGTATGTGTGATGTCCTGAGGTTCCTTCGAACTCTAGGTGCCCAGGGGGTTCCAAACCGGACCCATGGCAAATACCCAAACAAAAACCGTTGTGTGCCATACTGCTCAGGTCCAGAAGAATGTGTGAACCATTGCGAACCAACAGGTCTCCAAAAGAAACTCTCTTTAACGATTGATTTGTGATGGCTTGGCTCAAAGCGAGACAAACGTACATGAAACATAGACATATTGGCTGTCAAGACATCCCAAAATGCACCGATTCCTCTGTAAGACATGTCAACCTCAACCGCCCATGGTTTGGTGAGGGAGGTCAACGCCAATCGTTGCGATGTGGATCACTCCACCGGTCTCAGCGTGGCATCAGCCTGACCGCTCTCAGCCTGACCGGCGACCCGCGTGTCGTCGCCATTGGCCGAGCAGAGCCGAGCAGTGGAACGGGCGGTTTGGAACGGGGCGGTGGAACGCGCAGTTTCTCTTCCTGTATCTAAAAAAAGGTCCTGTCCTGTTAAATCCTGCCTGTCCTGTTGGATCCTGTTGCTTGTTCCCTTTTTTGGCGGCGGTTTCGCGGGGATTGTCGGGGGAGGCAACAGCCGCGCCACAGAAGCTGACCAACCTTTGAAAGGATCATAGGGGGAGGCTGGACGAGCATCCTGTATGCCCGTCAAAAAGACTGCAAGGACATCAAAACATAGCCACTGACATATAGCTACCGCCCCTGGTTTTGCGAAACTTATATATGGCATATGGCATATGGCATATGGGTATGATTGAGGCCACCCAACACAATCACGATGGAACAGTTTCATGGCAACCTGAGTCAAAATGCCCAGTCAGCCTACGCTGGCTATGGGAAACATGCGGTGCTCGTTTCATTTGTGCTTTGTATCCTCCATCCCGGCTATGGGCTCCATGCCTTATCAAAACTCAAAGAAACATTTGGACAACTCAAGCGCACACTGAGCTGGAACGTGATGGGCGAGGAGTGTTGTTCGACTGGAGATTCATACAACTTACTCTGCATAACTGAGATGGTTCAAACTTGGTTCAATGCAATATGATGCAATATGTGCTGGATGTCGGACATGCCTCTTTCTCCCACCAACGGCCAAATAAGGGGGGAACACTGCAGGATTGGAACGTTCTATGAACTGAGCAAATCCTACACTATATATGTAAATCTACACCGACGAAGAGAGAGAGAGAGAGAGAGAGACAAAGAGATAGAGGGAGAGAGATAGATAGAGAGACATAAATATATATTACTGTACAAAAAATAAACACATGGAACAAGAAAAAACTGGAACCTATGACCCTCTCGACCAACTCATCGGGCTTCTCAAAGTTTCAGGTCCGAAATTCAGCTCAAACCGGCGGCGACGCCACCTCGTCATGGTTGCCGTCCTGCTTCCACTTGCCTTTCTTATCTCCTTCCTTCCTTTTCTTGGCTCGTGGGTGTGATGGGGGCTCCTCCAGAGCAGTGAGCTCAGACTTTTGCAGCTTCTCAAGCTCTTTCTTTGTGAGGCCTCTCTTTTGAGGATGAACATGGGCTGTAGATTCGAAGGCCTCTTGAGGATGTCCATCTAGCTGAGAAACGTCAAACAACTGCTCTTCATCCGCTGACTCCTCGAGGCATCCATGATGGATTTGGATAATTGTGGACTAACACACATGTCCACTTGCAGTTCAAGGGTTCAAAAAACATGCTCCAAAGATTTGAACCGAAGCAACTCCCCCCCGAGCCTGGTCATCGTTGTCCACCTCGTCTTCTTCATCTGCCTCAATCCTTTTCTCAGGTCTTGAACGTGATGGTGGCTCCTGTGAAAAAAGGCTTGGGTTCTTGCGAGCCTGAGGATCAAA